CGAGTAGTGGATGGTGATGGTGCATACCTCTAATCTTCAGGCTGGTTCGCTATTGAGATATTTACAAAAAAGTCGGGGGAAAAGAACTTATGCACCAACCTAATATTTACACATGCCCCATTGTCATTCAGGTGGACTGAGCTACCGAGCGGGGGGGGGGGGGGGTAAATAGCACATGTGAAACAGGAAAAGCCGCGAGACAATACGACCCCCCCTCTACAATTCTCAGATTTTCCCCAACTTCCTGCCACTTTTTCAAAACTTCCTCATTTTTTCCCAAAAATTTTGCTGTCGAGGAGGGTGGGGTACACACTACGCATGAAACAGGAAATCACGAAAAGTCAACCACCACTCCCACCACTCCTAGAAAGGCCAGGACCCCCCCTCCCAACAATGAGCAAGTACGACCCCCCCCTTTTACAACGTCCGTGAAGCGAGAAAAATCAACTATCAAAATAAATTTTTCTCAGCCCAAATACGACCCCCCTCTCCTGGCGGCCAAATACGACCCTGTTGGGATTCTCCTAACAGGGGTCGTATTTGGCTGCGATGTGGCTTGCTACCGAGGTTGTAGGTATCTCCCGATCCCCTCAGAGAATCACGATAATGAAGTTAAACAAGTTTTTGCAGTGGCTCTTCCCACAATGATTGTTATTTCCGAACAAATGTAAAGGGCAGCTACAGCGGCACCGCCATCAATTCGTGGCTATTACTTTCCTATTGAAGCAGGAAAAATTAAGTGGGGTACGTTTAATAAAGTTTTCCATCCTAATTAACAATAAGTTCCCAAACGATGAATACTCGATCTGAAGAATAGCCTAAAATACTTACCCTGATAGTAGTTGGAATGAGTAGCGTAGAAATGGCGCTAAGAATACCAAGACTAGCGAATACTGTTCGAATACCGACTTTGTTCACCAAATGTACGACAGGGAAATTGCCCAGTAGTGCGGATATTGCCACAATAGCGATTGCCCACGATTCTTGAGCTGTAAGTAGTTTTTTTGATTCGCAAAAATAAACAAAATAAAAAAAAATAGTAGAGACTTAAAAATAAAACTTTATGCAAAGAACTTGCATGGCGACCGTTGCGGTAGCTACCACGAGTACGATTCACTCCCGCAGCCATGCAGAGATTAAGTGTAAGGTCTCCTGGTGCGCAGGAGAGAGGGGTTGGCGCAAGTTTTTTCGAAGGTGCGTGGCCAGGTTGACAGGGGAGGACAGGGAGCATCGAGAGGCCCGTGCGCGGCCGCAAGACAAGGTGCCTTGCCGTGTGGTGGCTCCGCTATTGTTTGGATGCGTCAGCTTTCTATTAAATACTAGAAGCGGAGCAGTGGCACAAGCGAAACGAGGGGAAAAGAATGGTAAGACTCTCTTGTTTAGCCAGCTGTATCTGTTCGGCTTGGATATTATTACAACCTTCTGTCGTATGCAGCTCAATCTAGGTCAATTACTGAAGTCGCCACTCATGGATTAGGGATTCCAAGCGGGGAAATTCCTAAGAGGTCACATAGGTCTGACAGGGTAACAAGCCTACGCTGGTCGTATGGGCGAAGTCAGTTGTGCACCTTGCCTCGGCGCACCATTCCTCTTTACCAACTCAAAATTAGGAGGAACGCGCCAATGAAAGAGGGCCAACCATGGGACAGGTTTTCATACAACAAGAGTCTGGTGTGCCTTCGAGCTGTGCAACCCTTATACCCCTCCAATCCTCGCTATTTGAAGCTGGTTAGGCGGGGTCTTAATGGAACTGGTGATTTCCCCCGTTATCACTGTGACAAGAGAAATCTTTAGGTCTTTTAGCTTGAATCAGAGCGCCAAGGAAAAAACCACTTCTGCATTCCACTCCTTTGGATTTGTTTTGTCAAACGGTCGGGCTGAATTGCCCTAGTTTGGCTCTTAAGCCTGCACAGGATTTATGATTTGTTCAGGGTCATCGATTTGGCATCTCCTTCCTCGTCGGAACCTCGATGGTATCCCCAGAAACGTTGAGTTAAAGGTTGGATGTTCGCACTGTCCGCCTTGTAGATTGAAACTAAAGGATGGAACTGGAACTTCTAAAGCACCAGCCCCAGGAAACGGCGCCTACTGCGTGGAACTTGACTTTGCCTTCTTGCATTAGGCCTAACGAGCAATGACAACGTCCTAGTAGTTGGTCTGAGTGTGACTGCCCCCTTGCAATCAGTCACTGGAACCATTTTCCTAATGGAACAAGCACGAAACTAGTCTGCCAATGGACTACGGTACAGATAAATATGACTGAGTGAGCTGGACTTCAGAAGATCAGCGGGAAGGTTGCACAGGCCTTTGCAAACGCGTTTGAGCTTTTGAGCTCCCTAAGTCATGAAATTTGATGAAACATTGTGATAAAAATCGTAGTAACGCTTAATT